AAAAAAAAAAAGGGTGAGTATGGCGGTGTGAGACAAGGAAACACAGTCATTTCCAAGCCACAAGCGGTGATCAAGGAAATGGCAAGGGTTATGCGCGGGGTGCGGAAATCCACACGCGCCCCATTGTTTTGATGTTTCCACTGCACTTTCTGCCGGAGGAGGGGGAGGATTTTAAAGGATTTAATCAAGTGAATTAAACCAGGGGAAAAACCCGGTCTGTTTTAGTAACATGATAGCGAGGGTGGGTTCCTATTGTAAGAAATGTAAATGGGTGTTTTCTATCACGTGAGGTCAAATTATTTATCATCTTGGATTTATGTTTCAGTAGACCCAACAATTGAGAGGCGCGAAATGCCTCCATATGAATCATTATGGTCTATGAGGGGAAGTAATGTATATACGGCGCTATTTGGGAGGGAATCACTTATGTTGACATTTAAATGGCTCTTCAATAGTTAAAAAAAAGACATTCGAGTGCCTTTGATTAAATATACAATTTACAAGACCATCAGCAAAGCCATCAGGAATATAAATTCTTCTTGGGATTTTTATTTATTTCTTTCCCCCTTTTTTAAAGCCTTCCAGGGCATGCATGTCATTTAATCCCTTTGGGAAAATGTACAAATTTCAGGCAAAAATGTCATTCTCTCCTCCCATCAGGAACCCAGGGAGCCACTGGAAATGTGAGGAAACTCGCCCAGCAGGCCGGGGTGGGGGAGGGGGGAGTTTGTACACCTTTGTACCTCAGTAACAGAATCAACCACTTTCTAACAATGTCGCCGCTGATTTTCGAAACATCATAGCTTCCCTGCTGGAGTGGAACCTTCCTGAAGGCCTGTGTTCGCCCACCCATCCACCCTCAGACCACTTGAAGTATCTCTTCTACACTTGCCCACCACACACACACTCTTTATTGACTTTGTGTATTCATTCCCCTGAAGTCATTCCCCTGAAGCACCTCCCATCTTTGGAATGCCCTTCCTTGACCGCACATCCCCTTCCCCGCTCCCTATTTATCTGCTCCCTTGCAAAGCTGTTCTCAAAAGGGGTGTCTGCGTCCAGGCGGCACCCCATTTCCTTACCTGGTGCGAACGCTAAAGATCAGCGAGTGTTGAGGTTATTCTATATATTGGTATAAAAACAACTTTGTAACAGCGTAAGATTAGAAGCAACCCAAATACCCAGCAATGGCATTGATGGTACATGCACACAAAGGAATATTCTGTAGCTATTTAAAAAATAAAGATCTGCTCTGTGTACTGACATGAAATGACCCCGAAGATCTACTGTGAAGGGAAGGACATAAGGTGCAGGCAGGAATGGGGACGTATAATATGGTACAATGTGGGCATGTTACAGTTTGTGTCAAAACAAAGTAGGGGAGATGTAAACATGTTTATTTGTATGTGCACTAAACATCCTTAACACCACGGGAAGCACCCCCCCCTCTCTATACATGCGCATGTCCTTAATTTTATTTTCAAAAATCTTACAGATCATTTTCTATCAGCACATGGAGATGGGTCTTGTTTGTATAGATACATTATTTCTCTCACTCTTCAAGCCACTCGCTGGCCACTCTGCAGAAAGTGCTCAAGATCACTAGTTATACCGGCCGGTGTGGCTCAGTGGTTGAGCTATGAACCAGGAGGCCACGGTTTGATTCCCGATCAGGGCATATGCCTGGGTTGTGGGCTCAGTCCCCAATGTGGGGTGTGCAGGAGGCAGCTGATCCATGATTCTCATCATTGATGTTTCTCTCTCCCTCTCCCTCTCTGAAGTCAATAAAAATAATATTTTTTTAAAATAGCTACTGTTTATTGAAGGCCTTTACTCTTTTCAGTAACCTTATGAGGTCCATTTCCAAGTTATCTCACATAAGCCCCCAAGCCACCCTATGGGTGAGGTATTACAATTCACACTTGAGGTTTGAGGAAATTTAAGCTCTTACAACTGTCTTCCCGAAACACACATGTAACCCGGCCGAGTTCGGCTACCGAGATTCTGACTCCAAACCCGGGCTCTTTCCCGTCCAGTATATTGTTTGCTTCCCGCACACATGCACTGTTCCCCCCAAACCTAGAGAAATTCTCCAGTCTTGTCCCTCTGGGGTCGTCCTGGCAACTCACCAACTGCTGTAAATATCGCAAAAGGAGTTTGTTTCTTTCTGGGGTCAGCAGGGCTCAGCTGATTTGCTGTGTTCACCATGGGAACCTAGGAATTTATCATCTACATGAAGCGTTGCCTTCCTCCCAGGTAAGCTTGGAAAAAATGTGGGGCCAAGTTCAAGGGAGGGACTTCCTCCCCAGAACAAGTAGACTCTCTGCTTCTGCTGATGAAGTTCTGCACGTCCACCAACGCTAAATGATGGCCCAGCCTCTGGCCAGATTATAAAGCAGCTGTCCTTTCATTATTTCTGGACAACTTTTCTCCCTGCTTTAAGCTTTGATAACGCAGCCCGGCCGGTGTGGCTCAGTGGCTGAGCGTCCACCTAGGAACCAGGAGGTCAGGGTTCGGTGCCCGGTCAGGGCACAGGCCCGGGTTGCGGGCTCCATCCCCAGTGTGGGGCGTGCAGGAGGCAGCCCATCCATGGTTCTCTCTCATCATCAATGCTTCTATCTCTCTCTCCCTCTCCCTTCCTCTCTGAAGTCAGTAAATAAATAAATAAATAAATAAATATATATAACAATTTCGCTGCTCTTACCACGGGGAGAGCTACAGCAGGGAAGAGAGGACCCAGGAAGAGGCCCCCGCACAGGCCTCTGAAGCTGGACACTTTTGAGCTGTGGGAACAGAAGGATCATTGCTTTTCTCAGCTCTTAGAAGAGCAGCAGCTGGGATTCATAAGGGCTGATATCTGCCACGGACAGTCCTAAACACTATATGCATTGCTCATTTCATATAGAAAGCGGCCCTGTAACAAAGGCACCCTTATCCCCATTGCACAGATGAGGAAACTGAGGCTTGGAGGATAATTAACTTGCCTTCCTGCCTGGACACTCATCGCCCCATGCCTAGAGCCCAAGCGTTTCTGCACACGGTCCTTCAGGCCTTCCAGACGCCGTGGTCAGCTTTAGGCCCTGCCCACTCCAAGGGCTCACCGCCATCGGGTGCCTTACCCGGACCTGAGGGAAATGGCCTGGGCACAAGCGATGTCGCTGGAGGACACGGCCACCGTGCATCTGTCCCCACGCCCCTCTGAGATGCCTCTTCAGTTCGGTAGCTTCCAAAAACGTGGCCCGTGCAGGGTGCGCGGCAGCTGTGGTCTGAGCCCCACAGCAGAGGGGACACCCCTGCCCTGCGCCCTCTGGTCAGCGGGCGGACGCCCTGGCCCGTTCACTGCCACTGGCTGCGCCGGGACCTCGCTGACCTGCTCGCTGGCACAGGGAGTGCGGAGGAGGGGAGATCCATCTTCTAGATAATTCAGGTCTGTCTTTCCTCGAACCAGCCTCTGTCCTCTGTTCTGGGCCTGACGACGGTGATTAATGCGCAGCCGAGTATTTCCTCTCTCCGGCTTCTTCCTCGCTCGGGGCTTTATTTTATAGCTATTGCCAGAGTTTCAACCCAGAAGAGAGTAAATACTCAGGGACCGGAGCCCAGCCCTCGGTGCGCCTCCGAGAGCGTCCCAGGCGGCAGGTGGCACCGGGCCATTCTGCCAGAGGTGACGGGACTGTTTAGGGCTCCGTGCTCACCCACCTCCTCCAGCAATAAGAGCTTAATCTTTTAATTATTCTGAAAATACCAAAAATAAGGTTGGCAGGGAAGGCAATTAATAGGATCGCACGGTCCATTCCTTGTTTGCAATTATGTATTATTATTTCTCTCCCCATTGTGTTCCAGTAATGATTTGAGGCTGCTTCCGCGATACCCGAAACCCAGCACAGAGCAACGGAAGAAGTGGGACATGAATTATAATGTCACGCCTGCTCACATCTTTGCCCCCGTCCACATAATGGAACTGAATTCATAACGCCTTTCAGAAATGAGGTAATTCAGCTCTTCTGGTGGCAACACTGGGCTCTTTGTCGGGTGAGGGGGGGGGTATGCGGTCATGGAAAGGGCCGTGGAGGGGCCCAGCAGTCCCGTTGCTAATGCTGGCCCCTTCGGTGTGTGACCTTGGGCAAGTCACTCACCCTCTCTGGACTTTGGATTCTGAAATCCTTAAATGTCTTTAAGCCGCCCCCCCGCCCCCCCCCCCGGCGGAAGCCAGCACTGCCCATCTGGCATCAAGCCCCCGAGGAATTACTGTTAGAGAAATGGGTTCCCAGGAAGCACACGCTCCATCCTGCACCGCCCCCTCCACCCCCTTCTCTCTAGAGAGAGAGAGAGAGAAATCTTCCCAGACACAGGGACAATGACCCCCCATCTTCGCTGAGAGAGCGCAGGGGAGCCTGCCCCTCAGACCTCCCCTCTCTCCCTCCTTCCGGTGGGAGCTTCTTTCTCTCCTCTTGCAGTTCAAGAGCCTCTTCTAACCTGGCCAACCCCAGTCTCACTTCCCCTTCTCCTCCCTGAACCGCACCTGCTACTTGTTTAGCCTCTGGCGCACCCAGCACAATGCTTAGCAAACACCCAGGCTGTCCTGCCCCACCCAATGGCTCCGCTGGCCCTGCACTGCCTTCTACCAGGGCTTCTGCCAGGGTTTCTCGAAGAATCCACCGGCCAGAGGGCCACCGCAGGCTCAGCCCTCATCACTTGTCTCGAGTGGGAGGTTGCCGGAAAGACAGTTTTTATTTGCTTTTGATTTGTATTGATTTCAGGGAGGAAGGGAGAAGGAGAGCGAGATAAAAACATCAATGATGAGAAAGAAGGAGAGCGAGATAAAAACATCAATGATGAGAAAGAATCGTGGATTGACTGCGCCCCGCACTGGGGATCGAGCCCGCAACCCGGGCCTGTGCCCTGACCGGGAATCGAACCGTGACCTCCTGGTTCACAGGTCGACGCTCAAACGCTGAGCTACGCCGGCCGGGCTAGAGAGCAGTTTTCAAATGCAAACACATGCAGCAACATGGGTGCACCCCAGGAATGAAATTACACAAAGGAAGGCCACCTCAAAACACAGGCCCCGAGCTTCCGGCTGGTGGCCACGCGGGCACGGAACTGTCCAAATCCTCTCCCCGGCCCTAAGCACCCTCCCATCTGGCTGTTCCCGAGTTACAGCTTTTATAGTAAACCGGTGACCTAGTGGGTGAAAAAACTGCGCGAGAAGATTCCATTTGCATTAAATTTTAAAGTGGGCAAAGCCAACGTGAGGTGTCGCAAGGGGGACAGGAGGCGCGCACCCCTGGGAGGGGGCACCAGGGCCTTCTGGGGGGCGGGGGCACTGCATGTCGAGCCGGCTGCTGGCTGCACGGGCACGCTCAGCCTGTAAACATTCATCAAGCTGTACATTGAGGATTTACACACTTCTGTCTGTTTGCTGCACTTCAATAAAATGTTAACAAAATAAAAAATACAATAAATAAAAAATACATAAACACACTGGGGAAGAATAAGGTTTATCGCTGCATGTGAGCTCTGGGCAGGAGACCCGGCTGCAAGCGAGCGAGCGGGCGGGGAGCTGGGGGTGGAGGGGCCGCGAGGGGGGCAGTGAGCACAGGGTAGAGTCACTGAACACATGTGGTTGGGAGTGCAGCCCCAGGCAGAGGTGCGGGCCGAGGCTTCTCGGGGCAGCTTCCCTGCAGCCCAGGCCTCGGAGTGGGTGGATGGGAGGCACCTTGGCGGCTGGCCAGACCCCCATCCTGTCGGTCCTGGCACCTTCTCCCTCGTACCTTCCACTCCAATGAAGCTGGACTTTTCCCTCACCCCGAAGCCGGGCACAGCCTTGTCGCACATGCATGGCCCCCTGCAGCCACCCCTGCTCCCTTCCTTCCCCTGACCTTGCTTCTTCCCTGGGTCCCCACCAACCACCTGGCTGGCCATCAGGAACCTCTCTGAGCGCCTCACCCCTCCAACCTGACCCATCCCCCACTTCTGTTTTCTTTCATTTTTTTAAAAAAATATATTTTTATTGATTTCTGAGAGGGGGGGAGAAGGAGGGAGGGAGGGAGGGAGGGAGGGAGGGAGGGAGAGAGAGAGAGAGAGAGAGAGAGAGAGAAACATCAGTGATGAGAGAAGATCATCGATCAGCTGCCTCCTGCATGCCTTACACTGAGTATGTGCCCTGACCGGGTATCAAACTGTGACCTCCAGTTCATAGGTCGATGCTCAATCACTGAGCCATACAGGCTGGGCCCCAATTCTGTTTTTTTCCCCCCCCGCTGCACAGCTCTAAGAGTCATGCGGTCCTGTGCCTCCGGCGCTTGCCTAGCACAAGCTCTCGCCTAGCCTAGGCCATGGCCGTGACCTCCTAACTGGTCTCCCCATGTGTTCCTGCACCTCTGCAGTTCATTTCGGGCCGAGCAGCCACCAGCAGCCTCCACCCCTGCAAAGATGGACTGTCCCTGGGCGCCAGGTGCCCCCACCCCCACCCCGGGGACAGATCGATGGCTGCCCCCAGAAGCTTGTGTTCCAGCAGGAGAGAGATGGATGGTAAACAATGACGGGCTATGCGCTGCCGAAAGAGAAACAGAAGTAGGTAAGGGGTGTCGGGAAGGCAGGAGGTGGGGAGGAGGCTGTGGGATTAAAGGATAAGGAGAGGCCTCTTAGAGAAGGTGAGCCATGAGCAAAGACTCCAAGGAGGTGAGGGGGCGCGTCTAAAGGATTTCTGAAGAGAACTGCAGGCGCCCCTAAGGAACAAGCAGGATTCCAGGTGGAAAGGAGGAGGAGGAATCCGAGGGCTCACAGGGGTCCCTGCAGCCAGAACCACGGAGCCCCCGCAGCTGTCACTACCCTCAGCCATGCCTCAGGCCCGCCCTCCTCACCTTGGCTCTTGGATTCTGTTTCCGCCCCTTCCCACATCTGGGCCTTGCTGGAGCTGGCACCGCCCCATCCCCCCCTCCTTTGGACTTCTCATTTGGGGCTCTACTCAAACCCCACTTCCCCCAACACACCTTTCCACGCAAGGTTAGTCCCCCCCCACCCAGCTTCGCCCCCTCAAAGCGCCCTGCCTCCCCCACACTCCAGGCCTCACCAGTCCGCAGCAATCCGTCATGAAGTCTATAATTAGTGCACTGGGGCCATCGCATCTGTGACAGGTGTTTGCTCTGTGCCAAGCACTGTCCTGGGTGCCAGCACCGTGGAGAACAGGACCCACAAGGTCCCTATCCTCTGGGAGACAGACGTAAACAGAAAGCAAATAGAGAAGACAACTCCAGAGGCTACAGAGAAGGTGAAACTGGGCAGCGGGGCTGCAAGTGGCCGCAGGAGCATCTGTAGGCAGCATGGCCGGGAGGTCTCATTCAGGGAAGGACTTTTAAATATATATATTCACTGATTTCAGAGAGGAAAGGAGAGGGAGAGAGAGAGAAACATCAATGATGAGAGAGGATCATGGATCGGCTGCCTCCTGCACACCCCACACTGGGGATCCAGCCTGCAACCTGGGCCTGTGCCCTGAGCGGGAATCGAACCACGACCTCCTGGTTCATAGGTCGACGCTCAACCATTGAGCCACGCCGGCCAGGCCAGGGAAGGACTTTTTTTTTTTTTTCCAATCCTCACTGAGGATATTTCTCCATTCATTTTTAGGGAGAGTGGAAGAGAGAGGGAGAGACAGACAAAAACATTGATGTGAGAGACACACCGATTGGTTGCCTCCTGTATGCGCCCTGACCAGGGCGCGGGCCGGGGAGGACCTGCAATCTGGGCATGTGCCCTTGACCAGAATGGAACCTGGGACCCTTTGGTCCACGGGCCGATGCTCTATCCACTGAGCCACACCGGCTGGGGCCAGGGAAGGACTGAGCCAAGAAGGCACCAGCTGTATGAACATGAAGGAAAGAGTGCTCCAAGCAATCTAGGAGCAAGCGCACAGGCCCGAACTTGAACTGAGGAAGGATGGCCGAAGTGGCTGGAGCCGATTGGGCTGTCTGTCTAGAGCAGCGGTTCTCAACCTGTGGGTCGAGACCCCTTTGGCGGTCCAACGACCCTTTCACAGGGGTCGCCCAAGACCATCCTGCATATCAGATATTTACATGACGATTCATCACAGTAGCAACATGACAGTTATGAAGCAGCAACGAAAATAATTTTATGGTTGGGGGTCACCACAACATGAGGAACTGTATTAAAGGGCCAGAAGGTTGAGAACCACTGGTCTAGAGGTAATGACAGTCCCCCAAGACACAAGACCCCGTGTTCTCTTTGCAGCTGCACCCACCGCGCTGGCCCCCAGGGGTGCTCAGTTCTGCCCCTCCTTCAAGCCCACGTTCTCTGTGAACTCTCCACAGCCCACTCCAGACCTCCCAGAACACTTCCTACCCAAACCCAACCTCAGAAGCTTCCCCTGGGAGCCTCCAAGGGTCTGCTGGGGGCCGGGCCACCCCTGGAAACCATATGAAAATGGCAGCCTTGATGCCTCTGCCCATATCTCCGGGAACACACACATCAGAATTGCAGAGGATCTGCGACGAACCATCATGAAACAGTGATCCCAACCCTTCACTTTGCAGATGGAGAAACCAAGGTGTGGAGGAGGGACTGCCTGCCAGGCTGCCCGCTGCTAGGCCACACGATCCAACCAATCTGACTGGAGAAGCCAGGTGGCTTGTCGTTGGCACTTGGTCTCACAGCCCCGTGTGAGGCGACGTGCCTCTGGCCCCTCTCTATGGCTGTCCTTGCCTTTAAAAAAAAATTTTGTTTTATTGATTTCAGAGAGGGAGGGAGGGAGAGGGAGAGAAAGAGAAACATCAGTGATGAGAGAGAATCATGGATCGGCCGCCTCCTGCACGTCCCTCACTATGGATCAGGCCCGCAACCTGAGCATGTGCCCTGACTGGGAATCGAACCATGACCTCCTGGTTCCTGGGTTGATGCTCAACCACTGAGCCACACCCCACTGGGCTGTACTTGCCTTTTACAAAAGCTTTTTTCCCAATGATTTTTTTTAATAGAGAGAGTGGAAGGGAAGGAAGGAGGGGGAGAGAGAGGGAGAGAGACAGACAGAAAAAGAAACATCGATGTGAGAGAGACACATTGATTGGTTGCCTCCCACATACACCCTGGCCAGGGATGCAACCTGCAACCCAGGCACATGCCCTTGACCAGGAATCGAACCACTGAGCCACACCGGCCAGGGCTGGCTATCCTTGCTTTTATCTGAAATGTATACTATCTCCCTCCTGGCAGGAATGTCCTCTCTCCTCAGATCATATATTCCTTGAGAGCAGGCTGGGCATGTTGGCTTTTTAAAAATGTTACTTTACCTGATCTTTTACTTCCATGTCTACACAATTCCAGTTGAGGGACCCTGGGAGCACTGCGTGCCCACGGGCCCCCTCCTCCCACGCCCGAAGGACCAGGGAGGCCGCCACGTGGGCGTTCACTGGCTTGTGGTCAGGCCTGTGGCTGCATATTCTTAGCCGCCCTTGGCCGCCCGTCCTGAGCATTTCAACTCCCCTGTCACCAGGGCTTAGATCCCTCACCACCAGGGCAGAGCCGTCCTCTCCGAGTGCAGAGGGAAGGGGACTGTGTTGTTTAAAGGCCCGCAGCCCGGTGTCGCACAGCCTGTTGCTGCCACCGCCGCCAGAGCCTGCCTGGCCAGCCAGACTGTTTGGAAAACACGGTCTGGCTCAGCAGACCTGCCCGGCGCGGCGGGAGCTCCTGGCCACAGCATGGCACTTAGCATGTCTGACCTCTTTCCTCGGCCCTGGGGCAACTCCGAGGCCTGGAGTCTGGGACACTCGCTGACCTTCCTTTATGG